CCATCAGTCACCAGGAGACAGGGTAAGATAGGGTGCCAGCATGTTGGTCTGCCCTGGAGTTTAAAGGTGCCACATGTTTCTGCATACTGGGTCTTTGACCAAGAGCTGGAAGCTTGTGGTCAAGGAAATTTAAAAGAAAGATGTAACTTCATTTCACTGCCAAAGTAAAACTCTTACAAATGGTTAAAATTGAAGGACTCGGAAGTTTTTATTTGCGTTTCGACAGTGACGGGAGACCACATCAGTTCATCAAACGTGCCGAGAGTCATGGTAGCCACATTCAAGAATCACTTGGAAGGCAAATGAGAGAAGACCGATCAGTCTGCACAGTAATTTGAACCCTTAGCCTGCCCCCCCCCATCCCATACAGTTACACAGTGAGTGACCCTTACCCTGCCAAATAAACAAGAACTCCATACCATTACACAGCACAGTGAACAACTCTTTTTTTTACACTGCTGAATAAAACAGACCCACCCCCCATCCCACCCCCCACACACACAGTTACACAGTGAGCAATCCTTGCCCTGCTGAACAAACAAGAACTCCAATACTGTCACACAGTGATTGGGCTTCAGTTCCCTACACCACCCATCCTACCCACTACTACCCTGGCAACAAACAGAAACAACATAATCACAGACGAGACCCTGCCCCGGGCTGAGCAGGAATGTCGACATGGTTACACAGTGAGCATTATAGCTTTTACCTCACTGAACAGACAGGGACTCCATTATTACTTACAGCAGTCCCTACAGCCTGCTGAATAAACAGGAACTCCACACAGTTAGCACGACCAATGCTCCAGCACTGTAGTGTCATTAAATGAGGAAGAGCTTTCAGGAATACTCGAGCCAACAGACAAGCGACAGGCCCGGCATTGATAGTCACGGTAATTGGACAGTACAAGAGAAAAAGGAAGCACTGAGCTAGAATCTATTAAGTAACTATACATGTATATTCTATAGGAAACTATATGTTTATATTCTATAGGAAGCTTTATATATTCTATATATTACTAAAATGTAAAAAATATAAACCAGGTGGTCCCCCAACCGGTCAATCCTTACCGGACAAACGGATTATCTATTTAAAATAATTAAAAAACAAATCGGCACACACACACATTAACGGCTAAGAATTGGCCGTGGTCACTGAATTTACGGAAACGCTTCGCCAAACTGTGCGGCTGCCACATTTGAACCCCCAAATCCCGACGTGCAAGTCCCCTTCTCAGCCCCTTTCTCTCTAACTGCCACTAATTTAGTCTCCCCCCACCCCGTTTCTTCACTTCACAATTTCTGCCACCACACACGCACACCCACCCTGCTCCAACTCTGCACCGCTTTAATTTGCGGGTGAGGACAGAGAGGAGGCTGGGTTAAATTCACAATATCTCAATTTTCTACCGGGCAAGTGTCAACACAGAAGCACTGGAACGCTGATTTAAATTTACATATTCTTTTTTGTTTAAAATAACTTTGTTTTAACTAAAAAAACCCACCAGCACATCGACGGAGTTACCTAGGTGATGGTTAAGGGTGAACAATGTAAAAGCAACAATTATATAGAATATAATTTATATTTCTGTTTACTGAAACATTTCGGAGGAGTCACAAGCAGAACAGTTTTACAATTATGATTTTTTTAAATGCTTTTTTTAAAAAAAATATAAACTTGTTTTCTCTATTTTCGTGCAAAAACAAAAGCGTTATTCTACAGAATAAAAGACCCACGGGTTAAACCTAGGTGTTACTGGCTATTCGTTTACAGGAAGAGTCTAGTCACTGACAATACACACAAGAACAAACGTGTTGGGAGTGCAGACTAGAAAATGCTTTCTGGCAGATCCTTACCACACTGCTTCGGTCATTTGGATACTTTGCAGTTGTTCATCCAACTGTTGGGAAGGGCTATTAACAAGAAGCACTGCGATGCAGTGAAAGGCTTTCCTTGAGGAGACAAGCAGAAACAGAGCAGGGCTGCAGCTTCGTAAAAGGACAGAGAGGAGAGAAAGGTGGCGAGGGTGGAGACATAAACACTGCTAACTCACAGCTACTGGAGTGGGACTTGGTTGCCTTCAACCCAAGGAGAGACACCAACCTCAACATTTCACCAGGGCAGATTGAGAGCTGGGAGTAACACAGGGCCAGGAGTGAGCTCACTCTGCTGCCTCCATCAGGGACGAGGGTTGAAGAGGGGGGTGAGAGAGAGGGGAAAAGGTGGTGGAAGATGAAGGATATCATGTATCTAGGATAAAACCTGCCTCTCCCCCTTACCCAAATCCTTGGAGTCTAACCTAGCTGAAACAGACACTTGCATGATCTGACGCCTTTATCTATTGTCATTTTAAACAACTGATTCTTTTCACTCCAGCTGAAAATGCACTTGTTTGAATCCTGGACTTGACAATGGAAGTGGGGCTTTTAAGATAAAGTTGCATGCATGCTGCAATGGTTTGACTACACTGAAGGTGTTATATAAGAATACAAGTTGTTGCTACAGGGGACCTCCCAAAACTGGTACTATACAGGGACAGAGAAACAAGAATAGTATTTCCTTCATTCCACATTGTCTGAACACAGCTACAACTTTCTAATGACAAAAATACTTTGTGTATACAGACAGACAGGCATGTGCATGCACATCACAAACAGGGAGGCTGAGGAACTCAGGAAACCAACCAAATATTCTCAGTGTGATGATCACATCATGATCCAACCACTCTAAGCTTCACTTTAACATACTAAACTTTACTGTCACTGTTAAGGACAGCCTGCCTGGCATGGTAGACTTTGTGCAACTTCCAGTGGAGGATGGCTAACGTGCACAATCCAAGCAAAACTCTCCAGCAATGGAAGACTGTTTAGGGCAGGAAGGAAGGATATGCCTGCAGTGTCTTTTCAAAGTGCCAAAACATTCGGAGTTGTTGGGTTACACAGTTCCAAAGCTGGTACTAGAGATACATCTGTGAACCCATCTTCAGTAGCCACAGTTGTTGCCTTGCTGTCAAATTTGACAGCAAGTTGACCCGAGTCAACTTGAAATCCAGGATCTTAGGCACATGGTTGGGTGGGAGGGGGTTGGGATTAAGTGCTCATTCCCCCCTTCCTGTGGCTTTTGTTGATGAGTATATAGATACCTCTTTACAATTAGGATTAACAACTGGGATAGGAACGCCCAGACATAAAGTTCTTTACAATGGAAAGGCTCTTAATCAGTGTGCCTGCAAAGTGGTATCAAGTCAAAAGGTCCTCTCACTGCATGTTAGGACAGAGTGGGCAGATGGACCAGTGCAGGAGCTGTATCACATATCCTTTTGGGACTTCTCAATCACATCACTATCTACCTCACTGACACACACGGAGCCTCGCTATTGCAGTGAACTGCGTTGAACACTCAATTGAAGAAATAAAGTCAAATCAATGTGCCAAATATCAGCAAGGATGCAAACCATTCTGAGACAGCATCTAGAAAGGAGCATGAGAGGTTTGGATCACATCTTTCTCTTCCGCCATGTCACTGCCTATGTACTTCTGTTTCAAAGATTGGGGTGGGGGGGCAGGTGGTGGAGATCAGAAGGGAAAAATGGAATTTCTTCCGTGACTCCAACTACTGACAATCTCAGGTTTAACTTGGTTGATCCTTATCACTCCGTCCCAGCCCCTAACTCTGCCAGCAGACAATTGGAAGAAAATTTTGACTTTTTACTGAAGACTCGCTAGGCTTGGTCACCTTTCTTAGAGGGGTGCAGATAAAATTAAGATCACTGCAATTTCCTCCCTCCCCCAGGAAAGGATAGATATGTGTGCGCGCGTTTGCGAGAGAGTGAGCAAGTGAAAGAACTCACTGAGACACAGTGGCACAGCTGCTCAATCAGGGCACTGTCACAACAAACGACAAGTCCCAGAAACGACAAGTCTCAGATTTGTTCTCAGTAACCCACACCCTCGCTTTCAAACTTTCCAGGGAGGACAACGATTGAAATTTGAGCTCCCTCTCTCTCTGACATTCCATTTCTTTCCCCCCGTGTCTTGTTTGGTCCGTCACTTGACATCACAGCAGGGTGGCTCTTGTAGTGTAAAGCACTGTACAGCAACAAGTGTTTCACCCAATGGTTCTTTCTCTCTGGGGTTGGCAATTGCGATAGGGCTACACCAGCCACCTCCGTTTCTAAATCCCATTTCCCTTGGCAATGCCCGACTGAAGGCTGCGTTCTTCCAGAGTCCCCCGAACCACCTACAGCAGTTGGACGCAATGGCACACAGGTGGCACGCAAGGGTACCTGGTGCAAAGTGGCACGAAGATGGAGATTGTGACTCATTGAAAAACAATGCCACCGAGTGTTGGAAACACCAATGGATGCCATCGGCCTCCAGAAAACCAGCAGACTATGCCTCCCACTACCTCAGCCACCCAAAATACCCAGTTTTTTGTCACAAAGGCTTCAAGTCACCCAAAGTACAATCTGTAACAAGTAATCCTAGCT